CCCCAAAACCCCAAAACCCCAAAACCCCAAAACCCCAAAACCCCAAGATAGCTGATATAAATTGAATTCAAAAAAATAAGGTTTTATATTTCTAACAACTAATTAATTTGTTAATATGAACGGTTATTAGCATTCAGGGGCACCTCAGCCTTTGAGAGAAAAGAATTCGCCCCTTAGATCAAAAGAATTTTAATAGCGTATACTCATAGCTTAACAGTATCATGGAGCTAATGTTAAATAAACCCATCCTTTGAATTATAATGATGAAGAAGAAGAATATGAGAGGAGAAGAGCAGAAGAATTAAGAAGATAAATGGGAGCAAGCAATCAAGGTTATGATTATGACAGTGGAATGTCAGGAGGTCCTTCATCGCTGCAAAGATCAGCTGTTAGATCGTATTAAATTCATTTTATTCATGATTTTTATTTAGTGATGGCTTTAGTCTCGGAAGTCCAGTGCACAATCAAATTCCTGAGAGAGACAGATCAGCATCCAATAATACACATTTTACTCTTGGACCTTAGATGAGGCCTGAAGCAGATGTACCACCACATGTTAAGGAGCATATTGCTAATATTTAAAACGATAATTCTTCTCTAATGAGAAGATTAAACTTAGTCATACAAGAGTTAGAGAGAGTTAAACGAGAGAAGGACGAAATCTTCTCCAGACTGAAATAGGCTGCTATGGAGTCAAGCGAACTCTAAAAACTAATTAATGGTGAGGATAACGTTGATAAAGTCAATAAATACATGACTGATGACTTGGTTTATGAGAGAGACAGAAACCACAAAATCAAGCAAGATTTGAAAGACGTTGATGTCCACAGATCTGATCTAATTGGCTAGCTTCGAAGGGAACAGGAAGCTTAAGATGATATGCATGGAGAAAATCAAAATTTAGCGCACCAATTGAGTTAAAGAGTTTTAGCAATTTAAGATCTCGAAAAGGAATCTCATTTTTCAATTGAAAAGATAAGACAGCTGAACAATGCCATTGAAATATTGAAGAATTCATTGATGGATGCGACAACTGATAAAAATGAACTTCATAGAATAGTTAGCTAGCTTATTTTGGAAAGAAACGATTTGCTGAACAGATTAGAAATCTCCACCAGAAAATATGATGAATGCGTTAGAGAAATCACTCACGACAGATAAGAGATGGAAGCACATAATTAACAACACGCTAAACTCATTACTGCTAAGATTATTTTCCAAGCTCTTGATCAATTGTATAAAAAACGATTTTAAGCAGGAATTTCCAAAATGCAAGAATACTGTAGCTTCGATGCTAAATGCCATTCAAAATTGTCTAACTTTGCAAGAATTTTAGAATAATGCGGTCATTTTAGAATGAAAGTCGGGTTAGTCCAATGGTATTCACTGGCAATAAAACCATTAAAGACCAGAGAACAGTCAAATCTACTGTCAATTCAGGGAAGTGACTAAAGACTTAAACTCAGAATGCTTATTCATTGGAGAAAAATATTTTTGCAAAAGGAGAAGCAATATGAATTGAAAAATAATGCAGTCTAGAGAATATGGGATATTTACAACAGAGATGCTAATCATGAAATTCAAAGATCCTTTGTCATTTGGAAAGATACTCTAGACAAATTTAATCTTAAAAAAGCAAGAGTAAAAAAGCTTATATGGAAGTTGTATTTCTAAAAAATTAGTCTTGCGATGAATCAATGGCAGAGTCATGTAGCAAATGTTGATACCTAGGTCAGATTGTAACTCTTATCATAGCAATTCAGTCAAAAGCAATACCTAACAGTCTTGTTCAATTCTTTCAAATTTTAGGTTACTGAGAGTAAAAGAAAAAGAAAGAATATATTGTTCCATTGCTTGAAAGGATGGCAAGATCACATCAGATTCTAAAGGTTCTTGATGGCCTCAAATGTTGCTGCTTTGAGATTCAGAGACAGTTGCAACACTTCAATATTAAAGCAGTGCTTCGATGCCTTAAGCACTCACAAAGAAACTGAAAAGTTCTTAAGATTAGACTAAATACTCAATGAGTAGGAATTGCCAATGATTTAAAATCTAACCAATGAAACTGAAGATATTGAAGTCTAGAGTCGATTCAAGGCAAAGCAAAGAGCTTGTGAATGTGTCAAAAAGCTTCTAAGCAAGTAACTCTTTGGAGTTATTGAGCTTTGGAAAAACCAAGTGGAAAATCACAAGGAGAAGATCAGAACTACCTTTAAGGACAGAGTGATAAGAGTTTATAACTAAAAAATAAGAGATGCCTTTAACTATTGGAGGACCACTCTCTCTGAGATTAAGTTGTCAGAGTAGCAAATGGTCATAGACGATTTCTAGCAATAGGCTACTGAACTCTAAAATGAAGTGATTGACCTTAAAAAGGACTTAAACCAGAAGAAGGAGCAGCTCGACTGTTCTTAATAAAAGCATGTATTGAAGTGTGTAACTTCTTACCAAAAAAGGATGAAGCAATTAGCTATTGGAAGATGGAGAGATTAGGTACAGACTATGAATCATAGAGAGGATGGAGCTGACACTATTATCTAAAGATTGAGGAAGAGATTCCTCAGAAAAGCATTTGACTTATACCTAGAAGGAGTCAAATATCAAAAGAAGATATTAACCGATGAAGAGAGATGTGCATTATACAATAAGACTAGAAATGAAAGAATCAAGAAGTAAATCTACAAGGCTTGGATATTATTCAAGGAAAATCACAAAAGGGCCAAGAAATACTGGCACAGATGCTACATTAGATTAGATTTAGGCATGAAGGAAATGGCTATTAAGAAATGGAGAGAGTAAACTCAAAAAAACGCTGAGAGAGAAATGAGGGATAAATAAAATCAAATAGTAGAGAACATTGAAGAGCTTAATCATCAACTAGGTGAGTTGCATGAGACTGAGGCAAAGGTCAATCAAAATATCAATAAAATCAAAGATCAGACTATCAAACAAGCCTAGAGAGTCATATCCAATACATTTGTAAGACTCTTTTATGCCAATGAAGCCAGAGCATTTGAGAAATGGAGAGATTGCATCTAAGATTAAAAGAGAAAAGAGAAAATTCTGAAAAAATTCATGGATCACATGAGGAAATACTAATTTGAAATGGTGAAAAGCTGCCTATAAAACTGGATTATGAACTGCAAAATCTAGGAAAAGATGGATTTGATTAAGAAAGAAGAGTAAAAGCTGAGAGATGGCGGTCTCTAAGTAGACATTCAAGGTAAAACATATGACGGCATTAAGAATCAGTTGAGTGATGAGTTAGATTAGAATAAGAAGTTGTAAGATATGTACAGTACTAGACTGCAGAAGACTATACAAATGATAGTGAACAGAGTTGATACCAAGGACTATATAAGTCAGAAGAGATACATTCTTACTTAGTGGAGGAATTACGTCAAGAGAGAAGTTGCTTTCATCGGATGTGTAGAAAATGTGATCCAAAAGAGCTTATGGAACTAGGCTTTTATCAAGATTAGAGAGTTCAGTAGAAGAGGGCATCAAGATGATTACAAGGCGAAGGTGTTAAGTAGCTTTAGGCAGAAATTCTGGAAGAGAACTTGCGGGAATGCTTTTTCAAACTGGAGATCAGGTCTGTTTAATGTAGTGAGCTTCTAAATAGAGGAGCTAGATGAAGTCAATAATTAGGCTATAGAGGATTATGATAATAAGAAAGCTTTATTCAAAGAGACCAACTGCAACAGGTCTGAAAAAATTATTGAAAAAAATCATTTAAAAAATCTATACCAATGCTGGAAGAATGTGACCTAATTACTTAAGCTTTAAAACGCAAAGAATTCTGAATACCAAGAATAAACTCTCCTGCTTTAAAAGAGAATGGCAATCTTCAAGTGGAACTCAAGAAAAAATGCAACTAAACTAGCCAGGCTAAGATCTCAGAGACTGAAATAGAAAGTTCATTAGATAAGATTGAGGTAGTATTTCTATGCAATTAAGGATCAATTCAGTAATGTGAAGGAGTTCTGCACAAGACTGTCTAACCTTGCTAGAATTCATGATCACTAAGGCCTGAAACTCAGTTTGAATGCCATGCAGTCATTCGCTAAATCAAAGGAATTTGTCTTCTAAACAAGAAAGCAAAACTCATCCAATAAAATAGAGCAGATACTATCCAACTTAATCTATAAGAAAAAACAACAATACTTGAATGACTTAAGGATAAGAAGTATGAGCTCAAAGAAACAGCATCTTATTAAATTCTTCACCATATTACGCAATCTAACCAATAAGCTGAGATACCATTTTATCAGGTGGAAAGAAGGTGCCAGCGAAAAAGCTTTAGCGCTGGAAATGCATGAGGAAGGACCAATAAGAGAGCAGGTCTTTGAGGACAAGGCAAGATTTATGAACTTGAAAGCATTAATGAAGGAAGAAGGGTATGATGATAAAGACATTGAAGCAGCTATTAAAGAAGAGAGAGGTAGATAAGGTACTCTCATTCTCAGAGGACTAAGAAGAATGCAGCATTACGACGAGGACAACTACTCTAAGCCCATGATGTTTGATAAATGGAGGAAATTCGTGCACATTAGGAAATTGTTCAAGTATTGGCTTGGCTTCGTTGACAAAAGAGGAGAGTACATCAAGAGTGACTTGCACCATGCTTTTGACAAGTGGAAGCTCTACTAGCCAGACCAAAAGCATAGTCTAACAAGAATGAAAAAGAGATAATTAGACTTGAGAACATTGGAGAACAACAGAGATCTTGAGAAGTTAGCGGAAATCGTTGACTATAAAGAGAGTGAATTAGATCACATGAATTTGCAGAGAGAAGCTTTAGTTGAGAACTATGTCAAGGGACAAAAGATGGCTTTGTCACTTTGGGTCAGTTATAGAAAGAGAATGCTGCATCAAGGACTCATTAAATGGTTTGACATAGTTAAGACAATGTAAAATGCTGATAAGCTAGATCGACTCAGAAAGAACTTGGATTAGATAGAAATGCTCAAACAAAGAATTCAAAATCTTGAAAATGACAATTAAGTACTTGCTGATGAGAACGAAGACCTTAGGTAGTTCTCTATTGATGGCTATGAGATTGCTAAAAACGCTGAATAGCTTAACAGTGAAAGAGAGAGATTAAGTGTTGACCTTGCTGATAAGGCTCAAGTTATTAGAAAACTACTAGATGAGAATGAAAAACTCACTTCTAGACTTAGGAATGCCCAAGAGGAGGCATAGACCATAATTAGATAAACTCTGACTGGAAGTTAGGGCTTCAAATCCGCTAATAAAAACTTCGCTTCCCCTAATTACTGATTATGCAAATAATGTGACTATTCTAAAATAGATTGATTATTACATAGATAAATAATATTCCTAATAAATACATATATATTTCGATAACGCTGCAGTCATATTTAATAAATCATTGTGGGGTTTTGGGGTTTTGGGG